TTGCCAGCCAGGCAATGAGTAATGCAGTTCCCAAACCCCATCTTACTGCCAGCCTTCTCAGACCACTCCTGGAGCCAACTGAGTCAGTTCAGGTGGTCTGGCAAGCAGATGCTGAGACAAAATTAGGAGTGCAAGAGATTTATTGGGTAGCAATGCCTATGAAAGATCAAGGGGAAGGAAGCAGGAATGGGTAAGTAAAGCGTTTGGATAGTAATACAAAATTGGGCAAGGAGAATCTCAAGTCATGATGCAGACAGATCCTCCCAAGTTGCAGCTGACCCAGTGAAAAGTTCCAGAGCAAACAGGGTCCTCTAGAGGAGTCCAACAGTGGGCAGAAATGGCCAAGCCCTAATGTCCACATGGTGCCTAGTCATAGGCTGATAGCTGCTCAGTGAGAGTGGGGCCTCAGTGAGAGTGGGGTCTCTAACACTGTAACAAATCCCAAAGGTGATGTAGCTGGAGGCTGACAGCTAACAGCACTCTGGCAGTTGAATGCCAGTGTCTTTTTTTTTTTTAATTAATTAATTTATTTTTGGCTGTGTTGGGTCTTCGCAGCTGCCCACGGGCTTTCCCTAGTTGCTGTGAGCGGGGGCTACTCTTCGTTGTGGTGTGTGGGCTTCTCATTGCAGTGGCTTCTCTTGTAGAGCATGGGCTCTAGGCACGTGGGTTTCTAGTTGTGGCACGCGGGCTCAGTAGTTGTGGCGCATGGGCTTAGTCGCTCCGTAGCGTGTGGGATCTTCCCGGACCAGGGCTCAAACCTGTGTTCCCTGCACTGGCAGGCAGATTCTCAACCACTGAGCCACCAGGGAAGTCCCCAGAGTCCTTCTTAAAGGGAGAGCTGAGCTACATATCTCTGTGGCTGCCATATCAGGTATTTTCTCTTCGAGTCCAGTGCTATTTCCATATATCATCTTGCCTCTGTATTTGAAACATGAACTTTGAGAAACAGTCAGATAAAGAACCTAAGTAAATCAGAGTGGGACTCTGCTGAAATTCTTTGCCACAATGGACTGTGAGAGAATGTGGGGCTTCGGGAATGTGTGCATAGGTTTAAGCTGCCTAGTTTCTGCCTCCTTCACGGATGAGGAAAGGAAAGTGGGGTGTGAGGTACAATCAGCTCTTGTTTGGCTGTGTGGAGGAAAGCTGGCTGTCTCCTCAGAATGGCAATTTACCAACTCAGGAAAAGAAATTATTCAGAAGGAATCTGTCCCTTTTAATTACCACTGGAATTGGAAGTACGTAGCCTTCTTGCTCTTTTTTCCTTTTAAATAATACTCATATTTTGAATGTATGCTGGAGACTGAACATGATGGAATTTAGTTGCTCAGAGCATTAGAGGTGGGGCAGCTGGGATCTATCAAAGGGTTAAAGGGTATAGGGTCACCTGAGGAGCTGGGAGAGGAGTCTTTCCCTTGTCAGGAGTGACTCTGATTAGGCTGAAAATGTTGCTTGGAATTCTTTGTCCCAAATAGTTATCTTGTGTCAGATGTGGTTACACTTACTCATGTTTCTAACTGATAATAAAAAGAGGAGCTGGAAGACAGAACGTGACTTCTGCCCCCAAAGAAGCCAAAGGAAACAATATAATTATGGAATCTGCAATCATCTTTTTTTTTTTTAATTTTTAGTTTTGGCCACATTGCGTGGCTTGTGGGATCTTAGTTCCCTGACCAGGAATCGAACTCAGGCCCTCAGCAGTGAAAGTGCAGAGTCCTAACCACTAGACTGCCAGGGAATTCCCATCATCTCCTTAATTTCTCAGAAGAAACTGAGTTCCAGAGATTTTAGGAAACTTGGCTAGGATTACAGCTTTCTCAGAAGTAAAATTAGAATATAGGTCTCAACTCCTGACTCAGTGCTCTACCTCAGTGATGTTCACTCATAAAGTCTCTTGTGGAAAGAGTGGAGGACGTGGGTCAGAAAAAATGAAAGATCATTTGGGGACTTAGAGATCCTGAACCCAAAGATTGGAAGAGTATATCAAGCGAGTATATAACGTGACCATTTCTTATTATCTTCCCTAACAACACCCATAATAAAAATTTTACTCAACCAGGAAAAGCCCCAAGCATTAGTATAATTACAGGTTGTTACTGCTGTTGAAGAGCAGAGTATTTGTAATGGAATTTGTAAAGAAATGGTGAGTAATGTGCTAAAAGGACATCAGGGTGACTGGTCCCTTTCTTTTCCCTCCCTTGGTCACCACTCTAGCGTAGGACTTGCCACCTCAATCAAGCCTTGCCATTGCATTTATCATCCCAACCTAGATTAACCTTCTGAAGTACTGCCACTTTCTTGTTCAAAAACCTTCAATAGCTCTCTATGACCTACCAATAAAGTCCACATTCCTTATCCTGATATTCAAGGCCTTGTAAAATTTATCCCAGAATCTACCTTTCCAGTCTATTTCTCAATCCTCACCTGTCCCTGTGCTCAGCCTGTAGGATCTCCTTCTAGTTCCAAAATAAACATTGTGCTTTCCTGCCCCAAGGCCCTTCCCCCCACCTCTCCCCTTCACCTACCTGTTTTTTCAAGGTCCACATTAGATACCACCCCATTCTAGTTGGAAGGAAGACTTTTCAGTACTATTTCATTTGTGCCATTCATTGGGCACTTTTCATATCCTTCTTTAGGCTCATAGGTAACTCCAACAGCTTCAAAACTTGTTTACACAGTCTCCGGCCCTCAGAATCACTCTTATTTTTGGCAGGTCCATCTATGTGGTGAACTAAAGTTACCTGACTCAACTTTCTCAACTCCCCACTCCTTCATACCTGGTCTTCCAATTTAAGTTCTAGAACACAAAATTTACCTTTTCTTCTGTGTCAGGCTTTGAGTGCTCGATCGCTCGCACTCTCTCTCTCTCTCTCTCTCTCTCTCGTACTTCTTGAATCTTGCTCACTCTTCTCGCTTATCCTCAAAATACAACCAAGTCTCTCTTTCCTGAAAACAAAACCAAACCAACATACAACTTCCCCTTTCTTTCACCCTGTTTTTCTTTAAGTCAAGGTACCTTTTCTCCTCTTTTCTTGGTATACTCCTGTTACTGCAGTTTGACCTAAGGGTCTGCCACGCTGTTGAAACTGACATCTGGAAGATCAACCATAACTTCTAAATGCCAAATTCCAGTCTCTTCTACTTGAACACGTCCCTTCTATGGACTTTTTCATCTACCTCTCTGACTACTCCATCACTGGCTTTTGTTTTTCTTCCTCTGTCCCATACTTTTCAAGGTTTGTTCTTTGGTCCTCTTTAGAAACTTCCACTTCTGTGGGGATGATTCTTAGATCTGTCTCTAGCCCTAGCTTCTCTTCTATGCTTCATTTCCAGTTGTTTGCTAGACTTGTGTGTGTGTGTGCGTGTGTGTCCCACCTACTTCTCCAAGATGGCAAGTTCCAAAGTTAATTTATTTTATTCTTCCTCTTCCAGGCTATCCCCAAATCTCTTCTGTCTCCTGTCCTTTCACTCTCAGCCAGTGGCATCACCCCCTTTCAGTTATTTGTTTATCTTTAATTACTCTTCCTGTGTAGCTTCCTGCTGCTCCATTTAGGAACTGGCCACAGAATAATAGGTGATCTCTGAGACGATTTCAGTAGAGTTTTTAGTGGTAGTGGTGATAGTCTTGGAGAACTCAGGAAAGAATTGCAGGATAAGAATTTGGCTCCAAATTCACTGCTTTCAATGAAGCTGTCTCCAATTTACTTAGAACATTCTCTCCTACACCATTTCACAAAAGTAAAATTACTCTCTTGAGTACGTATCAATGTAATTCATTTCTTCTTTCTGGATACTATATTTCGCTCTAATTTTCTATCTTTGCTATATTTATAAACTGGTCAATTTTGCCAAATTGTTACATTTCTTAAGGAGACAGACCACAAACTCTGGAAAAGGCATTGGTGTCATCTTTGCCATCTGTACCTGATGATAGTGTCTCTCTCAGATTGAGTACTTCCTCGAGGGACAGATGATGATGACTGTGACTCAGAAGTCTCCTGGTTTTTTCTTGTAATCTGTGTTCATAGTGCAGGGATGGGGTGTCTCCTTTGCCACTCTAACTTTGTATTTACTACAAATACACGAAATATACTAATTATTGAGGTGTTAACTTAGGAGAGTTTAGGAGTTTCCACTTTTCCAATATTTGGGTCAATTAAACAATCTCAAATTTCAAAAGAAAAAAAACACTCTTCAAAAACCACCCCAGTGGGCTGGAGATAACGTAGTCCTGGAGAGACATTTCCTTTTCCGATCCCCCCTGTTCCTCACTCCACCGCCCGCTGTTCCTCCCTGGGGCATGGGTAGGTTTGATGGCTCAGATCCCTACATAAAGCTTCCCTTGGAATGCTGAGACTTTGCGTCCCAGCCTAGGAACTGGGAGGTGGACTTTAATCTCCAGGACCTACATCTAGCCTTCGAAGTTTGGGGGGAGGGGAAGGAAATGAGCTCCCGAGAAAGCACTAGACTGTCAGCAGCATGTAAGAGTCCTCTTCAACCCTAAATAGGTACACAATAAATATCTGTTGAATAAATGAGAACATCAGAACCCAACAACGTAAACTAAGTCAATCTCTTTTTTACATACCTCAACGATTAAAATCTAGGAAGTCAGCTTTACCGCTGTTTACACCTAGTAGATTAGCAGAGTGCCTGCAGTTTGCTGAGCACCCCTGACTCTACTCTTCAGGGCACTGGGATCAATTTCCCCACTTCTTGAAAGGCTAAACCCCAAAATGGATTTATAATCTGGGGTTGAGACCTCCTTCTGTTTAGAATGAGTCATTCCCGTTCCCTGTAAACTCACCCCGCCCCTTCCCATTCATTCATTCAACAAATATTTATTAAGCGCCTAACATATGCCGATCCCTTTGCAGGCGTTTGGGATAAACCAGAGAAAAAAACAAGAGCTCTTTGCCCTGGTAGAACTTAGCGTAGGGCAAGAGACAAACGACGACTATGAATTTTAGATTAAATTATATGATTTGGAAATTGATACATACTACCGAGAAAAAGGTGCCAGGCTGAATGATTTGTGGAGGCCAGGAGACAGGGGTGGAGAATCCAAGATTGGGATCCAGCTCAGGTTGGGGAAAAGGGAGACGGAGCTGAAGTGGAGGAGGTGCTGACGTCGGGGGACCGGGAAGATATTTTCCGCAGAATGCGACGGAAGAGTATTCTGGCTTATGCGGAGGTAGGTGAAGAGCAGAAAGGAGTCTGGACAGAGATTCCCGTCGAGAAGCCGGCAGGCGGGGGACTCTTCTGCCGCTGAGGAGAGAAGATGCTCTGGCTGGAGGATCCTGGTCCAGGGGCCGGGCGGGGGCCGTCAAGGGCGGCCAACCACTAAGTCCCCAAAATGGCCTCCCGATGCCCCTCGCAGCCCCACCCCCGCCCCCGCACTCCACCGCTCGCCGGCCCACGTGACCCGACCGGCCCCTCCCGCCCACCCGGGCTAGCGACCCCGGGTCCGGGTCCCTGCGGCGGTGGCCCCGCCCCTCGCGGGAAACGGACCAACCGAGGAAGGGTAAGGCGGGGCGGGTGGTGACGGCCAATGGAGGTGGAGCTCCGGAGGGGAGTAACAGGTTGGTGGGAGGGGGAGAAAGAAGGAGGGAGCGCCGAGGGACAGAGGGGGAGGGCCCGGGAGCCGCGCGTGCAGCTCTACCCGAGCCCGAGCCCGAGCCCGGGAACGCCGAGCCCGGCTGGGGTGAGTGAACCGGGCGGGCGCAAGGGCACCTGAGAGGCAGGCGAGCCCTCAGGTGTACCCCTGAGGGGCGGGAGTCCAGGCGATCAGAGATACCCAGGGCACAGGTGCTGAGTTGGCGAGAGGAGGAGGGGAGGTCAAGTTAGGGTGGGAGTAGTGATTAAGAGCTGGCTCCTACTCTAAGATGCCACACGCAGGTGCCTGGGAAGGTGCCAGGTGAGGGGCACCTGAGGCTAAGGCTATTCCCAGGGCATGGAAGCGTTTCAGGGCCCATATATCTCTGGAGGTCAGACGCCAGTCCCCGGGGCAGAGTTTCTCTTGGAGACCGGAATGGTGGGGGGAAGGAGTCAGTCTCAGTTGGGCAAAGGGAACTGCTGCCTGAGGTTCAGACACGTAAAGGAAAGGGCGTGGAAAGGTGCTGTTTCCCTGAGGTTCTTTACCCGACTGCCAGTCTGAGCCGGTGCTGATACCTCCCTCTGGCTTTGAGGTGGAATCTTTCTCTAACCATTCATCTATAGGGCAAGACAGGTGCAATTAATAGACACTGAGAGGTAGAGCGAGAGGGCACCCCCATCTCTTTGCTAGGTGTGAAACTAAGTCTTTCAGTTTTTGTCCTCCTTTGCTTTCTTGCCAGGGAGAATATTTCCTTCTTTCTCTTGAGAGAGTGCTCTACAAGAGAGGGATTTGAGTAAGCCTAGATCCCTAGGCCTACAAAATGTGTAGAAATACTTCTTTCTAATGAGGCCTCTTTCTGGGGGCTAATGTCAAGCCCTTCCCCCAAGCATACATACTTCTGTGGTTCTAGGTGGGGCCATTGGGTGAGGTTTGGGAGCCTAACCAATTTCCTTGATGCCTCTCAGAAATTCCCCATTATTTCCTTAAACCCTACCAGGCATCCCTGACAGCTGGACCATGATGGCTGTCAGACTAGCCATAGGCACTGGTGCAGGAAATAAGCAGGACTCCTCAGGAGACCACAGGACTAGGAGATTCAGCACCTCTGAGTCTCCAAGCTGGATGAGAGGTGCACGTCAGGGCTGAGACAAAATTTCTGAGGCAGATTCCCTTGCCTTAGGCAGGTGAGGGAATCAGAGCCAGCCTTAGCTTGGCCCCTTTGATGCCCTGCCTGAGGAGAGTTGTTGTAATTGGGAAATAATTAGCAACCGCTATGTTGTCGACAGGCTGCCTGCACATGCCTCTCTACCTCTTTTTTCATCCTGGATATTCGGGAATGGGGGGCTGGCTCTAGGGGACTGCTAATCCAGAGATTTGCCTGACCCTAAGAGGATTCTGGCTTCCTAGAACCCTTCCTGCTTTCCCCAGGCTGACCTGCATGCCATCACCCATGTGGGAGGTGAGGAGGGGGTAGGGCTGCTGCTTTCTTCACGCCAGGGAAGGGGAGAACTGAGGGCCAGGGAGGTGGCCCAGGTTAAGTGTGGGATCTGGAATGCAACCTTGGGAACTTTAGAGGGAGGGGTAGAGGGAGACAAAGTCTTCTGTTACACACTGGCCTGTCTGTCAGTCACCAGGCACACTGTGTATCTGTTCCTGCCTGTTCCCTCCCCACCTTCTGCCTCTTCCTTCAGAGCCTTGGCTTTGGCATCTAAGCTGGACGGAGTCCCTGCCCATGGTTTTGCCCCTCTGCCTCCTCTGTGGTGTGGAATTTCTCTGGTCTGCTTCACAAGCTGCCAGTGGAGTCTCCCCGGCCCTCCCCTTTCCCTTGCCTCTCAAACCAGTCCAGCCAGTTTGCAGGGGCCCAGTTCCTCATTGTGTTTTTTTCCCCACTGGCCAAGCAGCTCTAGTCTGGTGCTCAGGTTTGACTTTTCCAGTGGACTGAGCCAGGAGTACACATGGGGGGGAGTTCTTTTTTTTTTTTTTTTTGCAGTACGCGGGCCTCTCACTGTTGTGGCCTCTCCCGTTGCGGAGCACAGGCTCCGGACGCGCAGGCTCAGCTGCCATGGCTCACGGGCCTAGCCGCTCCACGGCATGTGGGATCTTTCCGGATCGGGGCACGAACCCGTGTCCCCTGCATCGGCAGGCGGACTCTCAACCACTGCGCCACCAGGGAAGCCCACATGGGGGGTTCTTTCTGGATCCTTGGGCAACCTTATCTTGCTAACTCTTTATGAGAAAATAGGAGCCGAAAGAGCAAGGTCATTGAACTGTCCTTTTCTGTTTTCACCATTTGCTTTCCTTGTTTCCTCCGAGGGGAGTCTAATCTCTGTACCTCTAGTTCACCCATTTTCTGCATCTGCCAATTATATAGCATCTAGCATATTGCCAGGCCCTATGTATACCAGTTCTTCCTGGGCACACCTGGAGCCACCCCACCCCCACTTCCTGCCAGGAGTCCAGAGACCCTGTCACTCCTAGTTGGAAGCCAGCTGCTTATGGTTGGGCCAGAGGTGATGGAATTGGGGCAGGGCAGGCTAATGAGTAACTCAGGGAGAAGTGGCTGCCTGATACAAGTGCTGTGTTCTCCCTCTCCTTACAGGCAGGAATGACAGAGGCAGAAAGATGAAGCTGAATTAACTTGTGGCCTAGTCTCTTCCCAGAGTACAGTTGGTGGGAAAAGCAGGGTCAGGCGTCTGGTGAGAGGAGAGGCTCTGGGCTCCCTGTTGCCTGGCACTAGATCACTATTTACCTGCCTCTGGGGCTTACGAAAGGCCTTGGAGCTGCCTTGCTCACCGGGCCCCGCCCCGCTGTCCTCTGTAACTGAAGGCGGATAGGTTTCGGGTTTTCCATGTTGAATCATTTAGAGCCCTGCTTTCTGACCCACCCCAAAGATCCCTTTAGCCCTCCTGGCCCTTGACCCACATGTCCTGGGACTGAAGGGGGTTGAGGTTAGGGAGTCACTGGGACCTCAGGGTACACTTGGTGCCGCCTCTGAGCAGCTTGGTGCTCTTGGGCAGGCAAGGGCTATGCACTCGCTGGGACTAGGCTGGGAACTTCTTGACCTGGATCTGGAAGATCAGTAGATGTACTGTCAGGGTAGAGCTGCATCATGAATAAATCATGTGACTTCTAGGCACATCTGGTTCCAAAATTATGCCTGAATAGGACAGGGAGTCCAGGCCAGGAAGAGGTCCTGTTACTAGGACAAACAAGAAATGGCTGTGCACGATCCTTGGGAAATCTCCCCACTGCTGTGTTGAGTCTGCCTTGGTTTGGGATACAACTTCTTTTTGTTTGTTTCTTTGCGGTACGCGGGCCTCTCGCTGCTGTGGCCTCTCCCATTGCGGAGCACAGGCTCCGGACGCTCAGGCTCAGCGGCCATGGCTCACGGGCCCAGCCGCTCTGAGGCATGTGGGATCCTCCCGGACCAGGGCACGAACCCGTGTCCCCTGCATCGGCAGGCGGACTCTCAACCACTGCGCCACCAGGGAAGCCCTGGGATACAACTTTTAATAGATATATATTGACAACTACCATCTGCCAGGCCCTGGGGACACAGGAGTCAGCTGAGAACAATGTCTTTTTTCCCTCCAGGAGCTTATAACCTAGTGGAGGAGACAGATAGGAAACAAATCATCATTCTGATAAATATATAACTAAACTGAGGCACACTCACTGAAGGCCAACTATGGAGTGTATAATGTGAATCTGATCTAGTTTGTGGGAAGGAATGGTCAAGGAAGGCTTCTCTAGGAAGTGGCATCCTTCTGTAAACCAGGGGAAGCCAGGAAGGTCCTGTTGGAAGGAGCAGCATATGTGCAGGATAACATTTGTTGTCAGCTTTGTGACAGGCTTATGCTGCTAGGTGCATTCATGTTTAATATCTTGACATTTCCCCTCTTTTTATTGAAGTAGAACCTAAGTAAATAAAGTGCAAAAATCTTAAGTGTATAGCATGATACATTTTTACAGTTGTGTATACCCACATAGTTGTTATTATCTAATTCTCACAGGTAATTACCTCATGAGGTATTATTATACCCATTTTACAGATGAGGAAACAGGCTGGGAAAAGTTGTGATTTGCCCAAGGTTATATACATCAAGTGAAGGTCAGAAGCTGGGATTCCAAGCCAGATCCTGACTATAGTCCAGTGCCTTTTCTATTGGATGAGTGGCTTGGAGAACTTACGCCTTTGCCTTGTAGCTTCTTTTCTGGTCCCATTTCTTACTTGAATTCCAACATAGGGCTCTGCCAACTAAAAATATTGCTTTCTGGGGTATCTGAGTCAGTGGTTGGTTAAAGTCCTCCCCGATGTCTGCATAGTGGAAGGATCGGGTCCTTGGGTTCATGGGTGGGCCTTAAGGACCTCTTGAGATTCTGTGGTAAAAGTTTGGGTGGGCGGTCTCCTGGGGGAAGGGTGCATTGCTTTCATCATTTTCTCAGACACCAGAAAAGGTGAAGAACCATTGCTGATAAGGTGTTCCTCCCCCCCTGTATCTTCCCCTGTAGGGGAGG